TAATACGACCTATAATTACGCTTTAAAGTGTTCGCCCTCTAGTGCTCCCGTTGAATGCAAACGTTACAGATGGTCGTTTATTCACAAATAACCCTCTCTGTAAAATCCTAAATCGTAGGATAGTTTGGCCATTCAAACGCTTTTTGATTAGATTTCTAGCGAGAAGTGTATATTGTACTTTTAGAATCCACGTCCAGTCGATATGTAGGATCTATAGTTTGATAGATATTACGAAGATGAGGGGGGGGGGGGGGGGCTGGGCTGGACCCGTCCAATTCCAGTTTTGGATAGGCTGTCGTGGTTCCATTCCATTTCAAAGAGCTGTTGACGCTCGGCGTAACCTTGTCGCACTGCCACTCCAACATCCAATCACAGGGCTTGAGGACTAATCACTGGGTTTGTAAAGCAAGGCGGATGTTGTGGTCCCATACGATAGCTGGGGATTCTGGGTAGTGTAGTGTCTTCGGAAACTCTGTAGTGTCTACACTCCGAAAAAACTATTTGTTTCTCCGAATCGAAGGTTAAAAACACAAAAGCATTGTACACAATTTAAACCAATTAATATTGTGTAATTAACAAGGATAAACTGATGTTTTTTAGTGGATGAGTAATGCAGATATCACTGTGTAATCATTTGACAGTGAGGGGAATACATCCGGTTTTATTATGAAAACTTCGAGACCGGAAAAACTGTTTTCACCCACGCTAACTCAAATCATCTTCGTAATATTTATCAAACTATAGATCCTACACATCGACTGGACGTGAATTTTAAGAGTACAATATACACTTCTCGCTAGAAATCGAATCAAAAAGCATTTTAATGGCCAAACTATTCCACAATTTAGGATTTTCCAGAGAGGGTTATTTGTGAATAAACGTCTGCAATCAAGCATGTTGTTTCTTACACGACCACTAGAGCACCTCTAGTGGTCGTGTAAGAAACAACATACACTTTAAAACGTGTCTCTGGGTCGTAATAAGGGCTTGAACAATCGGCCTATATGGTCGTTTTTTTGTAGGAGGACAGGCTGAAACAAAAGTAGGGGTATTAATACTCAAAATTTAACAATATTGGTTTTTGAAAGTCCATTTTGTAGGCCCAACCAATAACCAACATGTTTGGGGGATAAGGCAAATATTTAAGCCAATATCCAAATTGTCTGGATTTGAGCCCATACAATTCCAATTTCAATTGTTTTATTATGTAACTAATATAATTGCTTGCTCCAATACATTATTTTCTTTTTCCGGAATCAATTTATGTAATATATTATCTGGTTTAAGAAGACTAGAAAAATTGATCTACTTCTTTTATGGAGAAATTAAAACTGAACCGTGGATCAGGATATTATGCTAATCTGATCTAAATATAACATTAATATCATTCAATCCATCAAATGAAATGTACTGCAGTGACTTCCTGATATGTAAAGCTCCTAGTATCGTCTGAAAAAAAAGGATTTAAAGCTGGTAAGAAAGCACTATCTGCTTCTCTCAGTTTGAGGATCAAAAAGGTTTACTGAGTATTTCATGGGTCTACTTGGAGCAACAAAGTCTTAAGAAGAGTTCTGTCAGCCTGCATTCATCACACAGTTTTGCAAAGCTGTGGCAAATCCTAGCGACTTTGCCTAATCCACAAGCACCTTTCCGTCTGTTTACTCTGATGCAGTATAAACATTTGATCGGTATTTAAGACAAGAATAGGAAGAGACAATTTAAGATCTTATTCAAATGTCCTCAAGCAAGAGTCAGAGTCAGAACTCATTGGGTTTAGGGTTCAGCCCTTCACTTTCTCCACCTTCTGCCATTGCCAGAAACTCTAAAAGATCGAGCATTGAAAAAACTGCTGTGCCCATTCTAAACATGCCTGAACAGAACAGCCTGAAAGTGCGGCCTTTGATATTGCTGTTTGGCGATTCGTTGAAAATGTACTAATAACTTCACACACTACGTCACCTTACTACTTCCTTAAAGGTCACCTATGATGCAAAATCCACGTTTTCATGTATTTTATACATAAACATGTGCCCCATCTGTGTAAAGAGATTCTGAAAGTTGTAGGAAAAAATACCCCCTCTCTTTTCGTCCTGATCCATTTATATAAAAACCTGTCTGAAAATGAGCTGATCAGATTTTGGCCACTTTATGATGTCACAACGTTTTTTTGGCATTTGTAACCATTAGCCAATAACAAACCAAGGTAACACCCCCCCCCCCCCCCCCCCCCCCCCCCCCACCTTATCACCTGAATCTCCTCCTAGGGCACCATTGTGTTCTTTTTAACCAAATATCTCTCAGAGGGGCGTGGGGAGTGGCTCCTTATTTTCATCTAAAGTAACAGACAGCGAATCAGCACTTTTGAAACAGGGCTGAAACAGAGGGGATTATGGGATGCTGCAATGATCTGTTTGGTATTTCGAGCCAAACACTTCAGAGACATGTTTTGTATATAACTGAGACCTATAATATATTGATGACAAATAGAATAATAGGGGACCTTTAATGCAGAGGAAAATAATGTAGAACTACTTTACCTGACAGAGAAATTTTTCTGGTTACATCCCATGTTCTCACAATATATAAGAAGTTTTAGGTACATCTACCACTGTCAAATCCAACAAGTTATAGAACGGTCAAAAGTAAGGTCAAGTTTGCCTGTGGCACCCAAATCACCTGGGGATTTCATTTCCAAGCCGATTGCTTTAAACATATGCAACGCGGTCATGGGGTTTATATTATTTTTTACCGCAGGTATTTTGCTGGTGGCAATGTTATTCCTTTTTTAAGTTAGTATCAAGTCCTACACCAAGGGAAACATTTTACTCAACAGGGGAGAAACACTACAGTTGACTTAGTCTGAACTTCTTTGTTGACTCCAGGGAAGTGGATAAGACTCCAGAGCCCACCCCTGTTACTGCTTTTTTATACAAAGGTTATTCATATTGAACATATCTGTGTCCACAGCATCACGCCTGCCAAAACAGACCAACAGAGGGACAGATTATTTGCTTTATTGTGAGTTCCTGCTGTTTTATGCCATAGCACAAAGTCCTTTAAAAAATGTTCCATGATAGAAGTTATCAATGGTCTCATAGATGCTGTAAACACTTAATGTTCAAGGTGATTTCATCCTCGTTTGACATATTCACTTGGGTTTAGAGTCCGACACCGTGGGCCAACCATAACAAAAGGAAGGACAGACGAAGGGAGTAACAGGCAGCAATGAGAAAAAAGAATGGGCAGTGAATTTAAACTGAATAAAAGCCTTGGAACCGCTTGGAACACAAATCTCTCAACAGCACAGCGACAAACACATCCTGACTTTGACCTTCAATGCAGGTTTTTTAACAAGCAGTTTTACCTCCTTTCCAAAATTGGCAATTTGTCAGTATATTGGTAAAACGTTTTATCTATACCTATAAAGATATTTACATCCCAACATTAAGTCTCACCTCCTTTCTTAAGTTTTATACCGCAATGGCAATGTCACGCTTTAAACTACATCGACGACTCTCATCAATAAAGAGATTTGTCATCAAGTCACTGACATATTGGTGTTCAATGGCTGTCCACTCAGATGTTGTCCAGAAAAAAAGCTTGAATACACTTAAGCCACAAACAGTTATAGTTTCTCAACTGTGAAGATTGTGTGTTTTGCTTATTGGCACAAGACAAGCCTCTATGGAGCACCACTGATCTAAAATGTCCTCAGTTCATTAACTCAGCTGCCCTGAATTTTTTTTCCCCTTTCAGTGCTGTTAAGTTTCCCCCTGTGTGAGACCTGGCAAGTTGATCTACGCCATCTGACAGTTCAAGACAGTAAACCTATTCATCTTCCCCCATCTTCCTTGTTTGATCCTACAGCCCTGAGACTTCAAAGCCTATAGGCCAGTGGATTGTGGCTGTCCACACACCACGACAAGCTGACAGCTACAAGTAACTGAGGTACACCCCACACAAAATACCCACCAAAATGTGGTCGGAGGTCCTCTTTGAAACATGCTAATTTCATGCTAATTCCTTTTTTTTCCGGACAATGATGCCAACCGGCAGCCAAATAGCTTTTTTAGTCTCTGCCAATTTAAGTTAAACTCAGATTAAATTCAACCGTTGCTGTGTTGTTTTTTTCATTCTCAAGCTCTAGCATTATTCATACACTGCAACAATTAAAACATCAACAGGCGAAGGAGAAAAATACGTACATTATTCATATCTGTGCTACAGGGAGACAGGCAGTCAGAGCTAATGAGCGGCTGAAGCTTTGAAGTCATGGAGCCCTCAGTGAGGTGAACGGCATGAATTAAGTCCCACCACCAGACACATTTAGCTATGTGCGAATGCCCTCTAGTCTTGATGGCTAAATTTGGCCAGTTTTATGAGCCCTGTGTTGTCTATATTCTACATTTTCATTAGGATATTTGAATATAATTGAGTCTACTGTAAACCCTTGTTCAGGAGGTCAAGCTCAGTTACAGAGCAGTATCCCAGGAGCTGGTAGGGAGTGTAGAACAAAGAGGAAATTCATATTCCATAAGAATATGAGCACAAGATACACTTGTTGTGAAATGGAGGGGAATGAATGCTTGGCTTTTTCCGCAGCTCAAAGCGGGGGAAGTGTGAAGTGTTTCGCTGAAAGGCAGCTTTGCTAAACAGACGCGGCTCTGCCAGCCAGACATGACCCCTTTTGATGGCACTGCCGGTGCCCGCCATCCTGCCCTGTGCCACGCTGATACGCTATCTGCCCGAACAGATGCCTGCTCTGGCCTCACAGCGTCACTCTCCGGTCCCCCACTTAACTCCTAGCTGCCTGCTGATGTTTTGTCCGCCATAGCGCTCTATATCAATCTTGTCTCCTTGAGGAAGCGCAGCAGAGAGATAACCGAGACCTACACTGACCTCGCTGTTAAAGGGAAGCGGCTTGCTGATGAAAGGTATGAGGTTAGACATGACATTAAGACATCCGGCAACAGCAAAAACGGTGTAAGCGTTTGGCCTACCTCCAGAGTGAGCTCTCCAGCACCTTGGTGGAGTCAGCGTGGTAGTACTTGGTCAGGATCAGGATGACCTGCAAGACAAGGTGGAGAGAAGACCATTAGGATTATGCTGAAGAAAAATAGCAGGAATTGCAGTGGTTTTCACTTCCATGGAGGATGTTGAGCCTACAAATGTTGGAATTAAAGTGAACACGGTTTGTGTAGGACAATAAAAACAGAGAACAAATATTACTCAATGAGTCTTGATGCTACTATAAATACCTAAAGGCTTTGCTTGCCTAAAGCTACATCTCTGATCTTGTTTTATTTTCTTAGTAGTCCCAAATATAGTTAAAGATTGATGAACACTCAATGAGTTTACATAGTGGTGGGGGGTCTTGCTTTTATTTAATTGTTATTTAATTGTATTACAGTACGCCTTTCTCTGTTTTTCTGTCAGTCAGGACGAGAGTTGGGCCTGGGAAGACTGACAGCTGTTTTTTGTTGATTTTTGTTTACACTTCAAGCTTGACAGAAAAAGCTGTGATAACAACAACAATTTAGATTGTACTTTCGGAATCTTTGTTTAGGATGTTTGTCTGTGCAGAGAATCTGAGCTCTAGGTGCTCAGGCCCACGAGCAAACACAATCTCCAATATATGAAATGCAATTGATTTTGAAATGGACAGGGTCTACTTTGTGAAACTTGTAATGGACCATTTGAGGTCCCAACAGGGTGTAGAGGCCATTGGTCAGCCAATAGAGCCACATCATGCTTCCACTGTTTGGCCAAGAGTTTATCTAATCTCTTCTCTAAATGTATATTTTAAGCAAAGTCAACCATGGGGAACTCCATCTACACCGCTGCTGATTCTTATGCTGAGTATGGTCTGAGGGTGCTTTGAGAAACTATTATCCTGAACAAATAATGTCCTTGTTTGCCACTTTGATTCAAGAGATAGCTCACACAGAGCTTTTCCTGCTGTTCTTCGTAGCTTCCTTTGTGCCAGCTTAATTTTAGAATTTAGAACACATTTTTCTTGGGGCGATTTGATTACGAAATCTTTCTTTCATAGTTAATCTTTGTGTGATGATACAGACAATACCATTACAACATTTCCCAAGAAAATGTAATAAATAACTATAGGCATACATTATTCACGTGACCAAGACATCTTGGTCCAGAGCACAAACCCCATGTGTGAACACTGGATCATAGACCGTTGTCTTTCATATTTCTGAGAACTCTTGTTCTTGACAGCTAGGTCTGCTGGGATTTGCGTTGCCATGGCAAGAGTACCAGTGGGTCCGGCAGCACAGTGGGGCCTAGAGATGTGATTGACAGGGTGGCTTGCCGTCCTAGGTAGTGGAACAAGAGGAAAACCCAGGCCTGCCTTCAGGAAGTTGATTGACCTGAGGGATCCTGCCCAGAGGCAACTGCCAGCAGCAGGCCATGTTGAAGCTTCTGCTCCCAGGGAGTTAAGATGCAAACCCTGTCATGATACATCCTTAAGTAGAAAGCCTGTATCACCATATACTCTGTTGTGATAGCACATGATTATTTTAAGCCTCACGAAACCTTACATTTTTTAGTATGCTTGAAATTGTTAGAGTTTGGATGAAAATACAAGGCAGCTGAGAAGTTCAGGAGCCAAATATCTGCTTGGTGTCTTTACCCAATGGGATGTAAATGATGCTGTCTTACTCAGACAAAAAAAAAGGTATCTATTGTCAGAACAGTTAGTGTTATAAAACGTAGTATAAGGTTGTGCCCAAGACTTTCAGATCGCCCTCTTCTATCATGGTGAGGCCACTGTAGCACAAGATGCAGTTTGTATTCCAAAAGAAACCATTTTTATTCGACCCTCTATCAGCATGGCTGGTTTTTAAAATAGTTTTTTCCGCTTAAACTTGGTTAAAGTGTAGCCGCGCAGCTGGGGACAGAATTAGCTTTGAGAGCTCTGGACCAATTTCCACAACACAGACTGCCATCAAAGTGGAGTCTCCAGGCACTTTGCTCAAAGCTGCCCATAGTAAGAATATTCAACCCAAGTGGAGCTTTGCTTTCAATGCTGTTTGTGGAGTCCAGACAACCAGGAAACGGGATATTTCCCCGAACAGCAGCCCGCTTTTCAGGGCTGCTAGTGACGTCGTTAACAGCTCTAACCGATGAAGCAACAGCGTACACCTGCTTCTAAATGACGTTTTAACCCCTCTTGTGATGAAGAATTGCACAGTATTCTTAACTGAATTTGAAAAGGCTACCGTGTGAGGATGTCTGAGCGGTGCAACATGTAGCAAGTGTTCCCCAATTGGTCGTTGGCCTACTATAACTGATGTCTCTGGTAACAGGCTGTCCGCCTCTGCACAGCTGGCCTGGTTCTAATGAGATACCGGTGCAAAGCTTGACATTCGTTCCATGCAGGCAGTAACAGCAATGTTCTCCTTATCTTAAAGATTTACAATGCTCCCATTTGCATTGACTGATTCTACCAAGAAAGCTATCGATTGATCAACATGAGCATTCATTGATAGTGTGTGTGGTTACCTGACAAACATATAATATTCAATCTGTTTTTAGGTCTATTTTAGTCCCCATATGGGCCAAATGTTGGACCATGTTCACCAGCTTTTTGTTGTGCTGGGCAGGTAGTGCTCAGTGGGTTCATCAAAGCTTTCTTTCTGAATACTGATGCTATGAATGCTGCTCATTATTGGGATAAAAAAAAAAACTTTGTAGAGTGAAACTGCAGAGTTAAGTGGTGCTCAACTAAGTGCTACTTAAATCTGTGTATTCATTAGTAGTAAAGATAACTTCTCCATTGTAAATATAAATGGGATCCACTGGTAATATATCAATAAAACATTGATCAGTGAAGTTTGGAAACAAATTCTGTTAGACCCTTAGCTAACAATAATGTTTTATTATCGAATAATCTACCTTTTATTTTCTTGATTAATCAAGTAATTAATGTCAGAATGAGAAAAGTAACCATCAAAACGTCCCGCTGGTGTTAGAAACAGACACTACGAAGGCTAGAGAAATTCAACTTGCTATAAAATGTTAAAGATTTGCAGCAGAGCAACTTGACAACGTATGTAAAGCAGAGCGTTAGGTTGTCTGGGTCAGACAGTCATGGCATTATATTGGGCCATGTCCCAGAGCTGGGTTACAGAAAAGCTGCAACACATACAAAATACAATTCTCTATACGGCCTCTAAAAGCTAGAATCCTCCTTTGACACAAATTACAAGTGGCACTTCTGGTTACAAGTAAGCCCTGTCTACCATATCAATCTATAATTACAGCTTCCTAAATGTGTTACACATCAACTGGAATCCGCTTTCTTGAAAATGAAAGAAAATGTGCCTCTAAAGCAGTGGTTCTCAACTGGTAGGTCGCGACCCAAAAGTGGGTCGCGGACCCGTTTCGAGTGGCTCGCAGATGTGTGAGTGAAAAAAACAAAAGTGAAAAAACGTTATGGGAAATAAGTCAAACGTTTATTTTGAAGGCCGGATTTTCTAACGCTGTGCATGCAGTAGGCGTTGGACTGGAAGTACCGGAGACCATAAATGGTTTTGAAAACTTCTGTCACGTAGTGATCATCATGTTTTTTTTGTAGTCTTCTGGCCAATCAGAATCAAGATTGTTGCCGGAAGTCGCAACGGAGAATAACTTTGCGGTATAACTATTCTTTATACATCCATGGGTACAACTTCAGATACAAATGAACACATAATGAAATATGACGCCCGGTTTGATGACTGACAGGTCACAGAACAATGGGAGCTATCTACCCTTACCCACAATTTAAAGTAATTCACATCTCCTCTTTGCTCTTCTCTCTGTGAGGAGCAGCAAGTTCAGCTGTCAGAACAAAGTGAAAAACAAACAATGGCATCAAATATTATTAATATGTCGGGTAGTAATAGATTTATTTATTTTCTTCTCAGACAGAATGTGTAGTTTATATGTTAGACCCCCCCAGACCCCCTGCTGGGGTTGGGTTTTCAGCATGTGTGCCTTTTTATGTTATACAGTTCAGCTTTGATTCCATCATCTCATTAAACCTTTTTTAAAAGCATACTTTAGTTCTGGGATATAAGGGATATATGCACTGTACTTCACTTTAATTAATATTGTATGCTGAAAAGCGTATATATTACAGCACGATTTTTTGTTGAATAGATTTGAGTGGTTCAAAATTGTGGTTCGCAATTTATTGACAAAGGAAAAAGTGGGTCCCGAGGCCTGACCAGTTGAGAACCACTGCTCTAAAGTATATCAGTGCGTCAGCCGCATGAGATTGAGATGTGCATCATTCATCCAAATGCCGATGCCAATAAAATATTCTGCCTCTCTATCCCCACAAGTGAGTCTCCCTTCAAGGCCCAAGTTCTGCTCAATTGGAAAATTATTTTTCTCTTGGGATAAAGTGGACAGGGCAAGTCAGTATTCAGCCATAAATCACCACTGGCAGGAGGCAGAGAGCGTTTATTTGGCAGCATCATATTGACAAAACTGCTGAACAGCACAGAAGCCAGATTCCTCTAATGCAGTGTGTTAAGACTACAACTTGGCAACTTCCACCTACAGCACATTGGACTAAAGGGCAAAATTGGCATAGGCTGAAGATCCAAGCAGAGCAGTAAGAAAAACGAATTTTTTGAAAGTGCTACGCCAGTCAGCTGTAATTCTGTCTAAATAAAGCACAGAATGTGAACAAGTATCAGAAAATATGTCAAGCTAAAGTTAACAAAGTTTTGGAGCTAATATTATTTCCATGACCAATGAAAGAAAACTGCTAAATGTATTGATTCCATAAGAAATTGCAAAGACGTTTGTGATGAACTTCTAGCCCTCCTAAGCAAACTTGTGTCCAGGAAGAATAGTTTTATTGTAGCTTCTTTATAAAACCACAACCAAATAGCCGCTGTGGGTTTCTTGTTTGTAAGCTAGCGAACAATTGGCCTGATGGCCTTTATTGAGGAAAAGTCAACAGGGTGGTCAGGATCCACGGATGACTTCATACAAGAGTTACAAGAGACCCCATTGAGAGTCACGCTCTAAGCCGAGTTCCTCATGAACTTC